GTAGTCGGCGTAGTCTTAGTAATGGTAGGTGTGGTCGTACTCGTAGTAATCGTAATCAGTGTAAGACTACGCAAAAATAACACCAATGGTACACACATAACCCACCGTATGTATTTGGGGATCCTCGGCTGCGTCATACTTGTTGTCCATTGGTTGATGGAAGGCTTCTTGGCGATTGCTCGCTTTTGGTTGTCCGATGGCTCAAGACGGCCCCAGGACTACCAACATGGCTCCACAAGACGGCCCCACGAGGGCCCCCAAACGGCCCATGAGACGTGCACGTCGCCCGAAATGGCCTCCAACATGGCTCAGAAACGTCCCAAGGGGGCCCCGCGTCGGCCCAGAGAGGCCGCGGTTCCCGACGGCATCAAACGGGCCAGGAACGCCGTCTGACGGCCAGAGAGCCTCCCAAGGAACCCTGAGCGCCCCAGAAAAGCCCAAGGATACTTCCAAAGAAACATGCAAAATGCCCCCAAATCACTTCCAGGAGGCCCCAACAGTGCCCCAAAAGGCTCCAAAGAGGCCTCCTCCTCCTCCTCCTCCTCCTCCTGTTTCTTCCCTCCCCTCTTTTGTCTTCTTCCCTTACGTGTTCCCCGAAGGGTTGCCAGAGCAGCGGCTAGCTCGGCCAAACTTCGGCCCCTCCCCCCCACAGTTCCAAGCGGGGTCGGCGTTGGTGACCGCAGGGGTGGGGGAGAAGCGCGCCTGGAGCCAACCCCGGCGAAAGCCAGCCCCGGCGAAAACCAACCCCGGCGAAAGCCAACCTGGCGAAAACCAACCCCGGCGAAACGAAACCCAGCGAACGCCAACGCCGGCGAAAGGAAGCCCGGCGAAACGAAACCCGGCGACAGCCAACCCCGGCGAAACGAAACCTGGCGAAAGCCAGCCCCAGCGAAAGCAAGCCCTGCGAAAGTCAACTCGGCGAAACGAACTTTGGCGAAAGCCAGCCCCGGCGAAACACATCCGTGCCACCGCAACGGGCGGGGCACCTGGAGCTTGTCCATCATGGGGAGGCCTGGCACCCCTATGGCGGCGTCCTGCACGCTGCCGCTGCTGTCCTGCAGAAAGCCCGGATCGGCGGACATCGTCAACCGAGCTGGGAGAAATCGAATCGGCGGAAATCGGCTGGCTGGCAGGCCTCCGTTGAAAGATCGGAACCCCCATCGGAACCTGAAGCCGAATCGAATCGGAAACGAAGGCCATCGAACTCGAGCCGAATCGAATCCGAGGAATCGAACAGAACCCTGGTCCTGCGGCCGCACGCGAAGGGCAGAAGCGACGTCGAGCGAGCAAAAAACAGCCCGCGAACCGCGGCGTGGGCGGGGGCCTTGCCGCCTCCGCCCCTGGCGCCCCCAGGGGCCACGAGCTGGGCGACGGCGCTGGATGTGGGAGAGGCGCCGGAGGAGGCAGGGGGCAAGAGGACGAGCAGGAAGAGGAGCAGGATGAGGAGGAGGAGGAGGAGGAGGAGGAGGAGGAGGAGCAGGAGGAGGAGGAGGAGAAGGAGCAGGACGATTTTGTTTCTCAATCCTTGTCTGGGCCACCCTGTCCTCGCGCACCGCACGGCGCCACTCAGCCAGCTTTCGCCACCGTTTCCGCCCTCACTTTCTCTGCTGATTCCTGCTTCCAGCGGGTTCCCTCCTCCTTTACAACAGGTCTGAAGTTCCCCAAGTTCTGCCTCCTGTGCACCTGCACCTGAATCGGGCACCCTGTTATCGCGCGATTTGGTCCGAACGATCAGGTCACGAAGCTTGGCCGACGGACGAACGTACTTCACCGACCCCACAACTTTCCCATTGGACTCGATTTTCTTCAAGGTCAGCTGCGCAAGTGTGGCAAACGCGCCTAAGTAAACGCGGGCGTCCTCTTCCTGGACCGCCGCAGGCAAGTCGAAGAGCAAGCAACGAGAAGCAACACGCTGAGGGACCGAAGAGAGGCGATGCAAAACACCATCCCTTGCGCCACGTACTCCACCAAGAGCCGTCCGATCGCGATCATCATGTTGCCGACCCACTGGACGATCACTATCTTGCACCACAGGAAGATCCGCACCTCGAGGGTCGGCACGGCGAACGTCGCCCGCGCAGGCAAACGTCTGATAGGGACCATAATACCGAAGACGGTCGTCACCCTCAGGTCGGAGAAGCTCGCCACCCAGTTCTGCACACACATCGAGTCCAATGCGAACCTCATCATCTTGCCTGTCCACGATAACGAATCAGCCCTGCAGCGAAGCACCATCATCATACAGAGAGTCGCCATGCACATCCGCCAGCCGCCGACGCCCCCACCAGCGCCGCCGCCACCCGAGCCGCACCGCCGCAGCCGCCACCGGAGCCCCGTGTAGTGCCCCAAGTCGTAGCCGTCATCGAAGCGCATAAGGTCAATGATGGCCTCCTGCTCCTCCTTCGCCCCGTCGCCCCCGTCCACGTAATGCCCAATGCCGTAGCCGTCATCGCAGAACTCCTGATCAATCATGGCCTCCTGCTCGTTCTTCACCCTGTCGCCACCGTCCTCCAGCGCACCGTGTCGAAGATAATTGTCTCCTTCTCCTTCTTCGCACAGCCGTCGCCGTCATCGTAGAGCACCTGGTCAATGACGATGTCCTCCGGACCTCCCATGCACCGTCGCCGCCGTCCTCGTCGAGCACCTGGTTGATGATGGCCTCCTGCTCCTGCACCTGGTTGATGATGTCGTCACCGTCCACATTGAGCACCGTGCCGAAGAAAAAGGCATCCTGCTCCTCCTTCCTTCCGTCGTCGCCGTCACCGTAATGCACCTGGTCGAAAGAGATATCCTGCTGCTGCTCCCCGTAGAACACCTGGTTGGTGATGGCCTCCTGCTCCGCCCTCGCGCTGTCGCCGCAGTCCGCGTTGAGCACACTGCCGAAGACGATGCTTCCATGCTCCTCAATCGTCCCGACGTTGCCGTCATCGTAGTGCACTCGGTTAATGATGAAGTCCTGCTCCTGGCCGTCCTCGACGAACACCTGGTCGATGATGGTCCCCGGCTCCTCCTTCGTCCTGCCGTCGCCGCCCAGGTCGAAGATGTCGTCCAGCTCCTCATTCGTCCTGTCGCCACCGCCATCAAAATGCACCTGGTCCACGAGCGCCGTCTGCTTCTGCAAGCCTCCCCGCGGATAGGCCGCAACCTCGGGCCAGGGATCACGAACAGGGTAAGCCTGAAAACTCGAGCTTCATCCCGGCGTCCATCGCCACATTGAAGGTTCGCACCAAAACGCCAGATATCAGTGCCTGCCCAGACCAAGGATAAACCAGGCAAAAACTGTGAGGCCTGTGCCCGCAAGGGTGCCATCGGCCCAGACGCCCTCCAGGTCCTGTGAGAATACCAGCGACTATGCCGAGCAGCGCTGGCCCGCCGAACGATCCACAGCATGTGGAGGAGGACCAACGGCGGGAATACATTGCGGTCTTCAGTCCACCTCACTGCACTCCGCAAAGCACGGGTGTGTGAGGCACCCTCAACCCTCTCCAATCCATACTGCAGTAGACGCCTCAGGTCCGCCATCCGCAAGGCAGCCTCGTCAAGCTGAGGGGAATAGCGGGCCGCACCGACGCGGCAGTCCCGCAGCCGCACCACCGCTGAACAGGCCTCCTGGCACTCGGTACAGGATCGAGTCGAGATACGAAAGGCACGGCAGTGGGTTCTCACGTAGCGAGCACCATCTGGCCAAAGGAAGGGAATACCTCCAAGTGACTTGCGCACAATCACCACGTGACACGACAAGCGAGAGAGTGGGAGCAGAGGGCCATGCGGCGCGGGTGCAGCGAGGCCGATGAGAGCGAGAGAGGAGAGGGCCGCAAGATCTTGCGCCATATTGGCTACGGATGGAGGAGGAGGTGGAGGAAAAGGAGGAGGAGGACGGAGGACGGAGGAGGAGGAAGAGGAGGAGGAGGAGGAGGAGGATGAGAAGGTGGAGGAGGGCGGAGGAGGGCTGAGGAGGAGGAGGAGGAGGCGGAGGAGGAGGAGAAGGAGCGGGAAGGGGATGGGCGAGGGGGAGGAGGATTAGGAGAGCGAGGAGCGAGAGGAGGAGGAGGAGGAGAGGAGGAGGAGGAGGAGGAGGAGAGCAAGAGCAGGAGGGAGGAGAAGGAGGAGATGGGGGAGGAGGAGGAGGAAGAGGAGAGGAGGAAGAGGGAAGGGGGGAAGAGGAGGAGGAGGCGGAGGAGGAGGAAAAGAGAGGAGGAGGAGCAGGAGGAGGAGCAAGAGGAGGAGGAAGGAGGGGAGGACGAAGGGAGGAGGGGAGGAGGAGGAGGAGGAGGAGGAGGAGGAAGGAAGGAGGAGGAGGGAGGAGGAGGAGGAGGAGGAGGGAGGAGGGCGGCGGCGGGCGGCGGCGGCGGCGGAGGAGAGGAAGAGGAGGAGGAGCGAGGAGAAGCGAGGAATAGGAGCGAGGAGGAGCAAGGAGAAGGAGGAGAAGGTGGATGAGGAGCGACGAGGAGGAGAAGGAGGGGGAAGAGGGAGGAAGAGGAGAAGAAGCGAGGAGGAGGAGGACAAGGATGATGCTGCTGATGATGATGATGAGGAGGGGGAGGAGGAGCGGGGAGGAGAGGATGATGAAGAAGAGGAGGAGGATGAGGAGCGAGAAAGAGGACACTGATGATGATGATGATGATGCTGATGATGATGATGATGATGATGATGCTGATTCTGAGGATGATGATGCTGATGCTGATGCTGCTGATGATGATGATGATACTGATGATGATGAAGATGCTGCTGATGATGATGATGATGATGATGATGCTGATGCTGATGGTGATGATGATGATGCTGATGCTGATGATGGTGCTGATGATGATGATGATACTAATGATGATGATGATGAGGACGATGATGATGATGATGATGATGATGATGATGATGATGATGATGACGATGATGATGATGATGATGATGATGATGATGACGAGGAGGATGATGATAATGATGAGGAGGAGGATGAGGAGGAGGACGAGGAGGAGGAGGAAGAGGAGGAGGAGGAGGAGGAG